TATTACAAGATATCGAGATCCAAACAATAATTTTACATTCACTGAGTGATTTCAAATGCAATAACGCCGCATTTGGAGCCTCTAATGAGGAATGACGACGACATTCAATAACCACAATAATCCACGTCAATAGAGTAATCAAGAAAGAAATGGAGGTATATGAGGTCTAAATTCCCAGATATTCAGTATTATCCCAAGTGATAGTCAAGTGAACTGCAATAGAAATGGCCAGTAATAATTTGGTCGAGGAGTCAACGAAAAAAAAATCATTACATATCGAGTACTAAAATATCAATAATGACAATATCACCAAATAAAAACCATAGACAATCTGAAAGCTCAGCACAAAAACGCTTTGAACGACATTTGAGGAAACCTCTCCTGAGATCAGAAAAAGAGGTAAATGAGAAATGCTAACAATAACCAATATAAGAACTAGAGATTTTAAATAATCAGTTTGTATCCAGACAATCTGTACGAATCAGCTCATACTTTTCCATGCACAATGAACGGGACCAACACGCATCCATCGATACAAAGCTTCAGCAGTTTCCGAAAGTTGCGTCGAACATCCCTCATGATCAAATACAACAATACTACATTTATCGTCATGGAAGAACACATCACTGAACAATCAAAATTTCAAGGTTTTCGATTGCACCGCTGTTAGACCAAAAAATGTCCTCACCTTTCCTCAATATCTTCCCTAACTAACTCGTCGAACCCCCGAATAAAAAAGAACATTCGCTGGCCCGAGTGACGCGCCCCTTCTGGAGGGAAAGCCTGAAATAGTGCCAGTAGCCAGGAAGTCCTTGAGTAGTCACAGGCCAGTAGTGTGCAAAGTGTAACAACTGAAGCCACTTCATCCTTCACGATCCGACCGCTTGGATCGCGCAATCACGACAGAAGCGCTCTATTGCCAATCGGTGAACCGCCGCAACCAAATTTGAGGCAATGAATACTTGCAGCGGTCCACCAATTAGTGATGGAGCATTACCGGTCAAGATTGTGCGATCCCAGCGATCAGATAGTCAAGTATGAGCGCGCTCTGACTGCAACAACAACTGCGGTGACGGCTTGGAAACGTCATGCGGCAGCGCAGCCAAAGTCAACCAGACAACCTACCAAAAACAACTGTCGATTAATGCGGCGTTTTTCCACATCTGACAGTGCACTGCATGATGCGCCACAGTTTTCGTCATGCGAGTCTTCTGCATCACATATTGAAACCGGCATTTCTGGAAAGAAAAGAAAATTTTGAAGTGATGAAAAGCACCGCCAAGGCTATCTATAGTACAGAAAACTCAAAAGTAGGAAGAAGAAAAGTTTCAAAAAACGTACTATTAAGGCGTGTTGATACGGTGGGATTGGGTCCCACGCAAATAGCCACTTCTCGTATGGATCGACGATATTTGGAGCGAAAAACGCCACGTAGTACCTCTCGAACCTGAACGTGCACCAAATGAACTGCAAAAAACACCTGTGCTGACTAGGTTCACCACCGTTCTCACTACCCTTGGTTTGTTGCTCTTGTGATATCACAGGGCTTTTACGCGCTCATAAACCCCAATAAAACGCGGCTGGAATCGTGACAGCGCCAGCGTGATTGTAGGGGGAGGGGAGGAGCACACGTCTCAGCATACTTGTATGTCCCTAAGCCTGCCTCCTCCTTCCTTCCTTCTCTCTTCCCTCTTCTCTCCCTCACAACTATTGGACAGTTAGATTCTATGAGAAAAACTACCATCTGCGACCTCGCGGCGAGCGCATGTAGGGTTGACAAGAACCCTTTAACCGAAGGGGACGCAGCGCAGCCAGTGAACCTCCAAGGCGCGTTCTCTCACCGTGCTAGTGGCCTCATTTCGCTGGACTCAACCCTAAACTACGTTCATACTTTTGATCGGCGCTCTGAGAGAAAAGTATAGACGAAAAATCCTGGGATTTCTCCCAAGCAAGCTGATCGATTATTCCGTTCAGTTTTTGGCTCGACTTTGGAGAGGTAGAGGGTGACTATGTAGACGTGACTCGCTCGAAGGTTTCACACTCCCCTTTTTCAATTTCAATAGCGCTTCCCTGACAAAAGCTTTGACAAATCATGCTTACTTTTTCGATCCCATTCAGGGTTTTTACCAAACCTGGCGGTGGCGATTCCGGAACCAAAGATAGAGGACACGGTATGAGACCGTGATTCAGTAGAAGCGATTGCATTGCCAGATCAAGAAACTGTAAGGATGAATGGATGCATAAACATCGTCCAGTGTGCATATGGTGATTCGCACACGACATCCTGGAAATTCCAGACAAAAATTATATAACAAAAAGCAAAGGAGTAATCGGAGAAATCCACAAATCACAAACGATACTCTAGGAACAAACTCCAGGTGACTGCCTCCAATCTGATCATGACAATCGATAAAACAACACTTTATTGGAACATATACCCATTCAAAAATGCTGCAACAAAGCAAAACAAATAACCAAACAATACCTGATATAAAGAGCTCATGCCCGAATACGTCAACGAAGGAAGACATCCAAGACAGCGCAGACTAACAACAGTGGCGAGAAGGAAAGCCTATATTCGAGTAACTGACGCTATTATTTCTTTTCTCGTAGTGCCTTAATGAATTCTTCCATCTCCCGCAACTTCTCGCGATTATCGTGACGCTCTCGTTTTCGTTCCCTTTCAGCTTCTTGAGTACGTCGGCGTTTTCTCTTTTCCTCTTCAATATCGCTCCGCTTCGGATTTTTCGACTTTGGTTTGTCACTGTCATCTTCCACTAAAACAAATATTCGTCGATTTTATGAAACCAAACATTTGACGTGCTTGGAAACCACAAATGTTTTGCTTTTAGGGCGAACAACGGCTAGCGAAAAGGTCATTAACACATTGGCGACAAGGCGCCTTTTCGCGTGTCTGCCGCGTGGGACAAAGCAGTTTTTCCCTATTTCCGAAAAATGCGCATAAATGCTAGGGCGTTTATACGCCAAAAAAAATTGAAGAATGGTTAGAATTCTAGTTCATTGCAGAAGCTAGTAAGGCTTGCGCTATTCTTGTTTACTTTCAAGATAAACCCTGAAATTTCATGGAATACTCCCGCCTCATTCACGTGGAGCGTGGGAACAAGGTCGCAAAAAAGGAATATTTTCCGCGGCGGAGTGGTAAACTGGATTCGATTCAGATCTGCTACTGTTGAAAGTTACCTTATCACATTAGCTATCTGCATGTGGAGCTTCAGTTCTATATATCCAAGAATTATCTTTTTTTTTTTCCTAGGAAATCACTTTCGTTTGTCTCCTCGGTAAAATACTCTCAATGACACAACTGCACGGTTTACAGCTACTGTATATTCTACAATGCCTTCATGGACAATACGCAGCTGTTGAAAATTCGAAACGTCTTCGAATTGGTTCTTTACCCATGCCGCATCCCAGCAGTGGACGCAATGTCCCACGCGGCAAAAAAAGGTGGTCCCAGCAGTGGGACGCAATGTACGACAAGCTGTTTAAAAGGGTTGCATGGAAGCGGTCGGAGGAGGAGACAAGCACCACGCTCACTCTGCTCTGTCTGGCAAGGCTAGGAATGGGTTCGTGAGTGAAGAAGCTCAGTCTAGAGGACCTGACGTCCTAGCCCCAGCCCCATGACGCCCCCAGACGTCAAGGCAGCGTACAAGACTATGAACCATTTCATACGGTGTTCTGTTCTTTCGTACTGCGTACTAGTCGTTGCGATCTTGAGAAGAGGCAACATCGTGGACGGAGTAAAATGGTGCTGCCAGCAGGACCCCGCCCAAAGTCACGAAAATGGTATCCCCTCTCCTACCCGCGAAAAACGTTAACGCCCCTCCTCATGGATATAGTTCTCGTGTCCGATTGCTTTAAATCATTCTCAGACTATTTAGCTGTATAAAACTCATCGATGTAATATAAACAAACTTACAAATTTCTACTGATGGGCTTCTCTTCTTTCTATCCATTTTGGCTAAAGCTGCTCTGGCTCGTCTGTCCTCCTTTATCCGAAGAACTTTCTCGAATTTACTTTTTGCATTTTCCAAATCACCTTGCACTTCCAGCCTAAAACTCAATTCAACTGAACGTCATGCAACTGATTCACTTTCAGAACAACTTGTAATAAATGAAATAAAAACAATAAAAGCCGCGGTTTCTGGCTTGACGTGGGGTGGGACCCATGGTACTCAGCAAAAACTTGTTAGACCGCTTTTTGGAGACCTATAAATTCACTTCAGTAAAACCTCCTAGTTGACATGAAACAGCAATAAAAACCAGCGAATGCCAAAATGCTCCCACTCCTGAGCCTAATAGCGTGACATAATAAATATAGATGATTTCGGAGCGTTCAGACGTGCAACGCTTCTTGGGGCAGGTGTAGCACAGGGCAGTTTCTGTTAAAAACTGAGTGGATCTAGTTGTTGATTTCTGTGGGGCGAATGGGCCTGCAGCTGTGGGTGTGCCACTTTCTCCGGTCAAAAGTGCACGGGAAGATGGCTGAGGGGTAGCAATGCCTAGGTGCCGTCTCGTACTCCGCCCGCGCTGCTGCACACCATTCATGCGCCTAACGAAAGCTAAACGCGCTGTTGTCTGCGCGTTCTCACTTCTAGTTCTGCTCTACCACTTCGTACGTGTTTCACTGTGTGACCTTGGCACTGAAGCAAGTATAGCACCTTGAGGATAGCGCGGGCGGAGTTTGGTGACGGCACCCTGCTACCACTACCACCGCCTCGTTCCCAACAGCTTTTGAGCAGAGAGTGTCACGCTATTGCAGCTGTGGACTAATTCGCGTCGCACATGGCCAGGACTGACCTCGGACCTGAGTGTGCAACTTGTCCTTAATGACAAGGAAACATGAATCGCATCGTTGTCAATGACGTCTTAAGGCGTCATTACCGTATACTCGAAATCCCTGAGATCGGGTAGGCGTGGCTGCATGCTTCAACTTAACCTGAAGGTGTCTATGCTTCTGGTGAGATATTTTCATCTTGACACAATTGTTGTCGTGTCTCTGTCCAACACAGAACAAGATGACAGTTGTCCCAGACTGGAATATTCCACGAGTAACCAATTCCGTGCCATGTTCAAATGCCACGCCTACTCTGGCTCAGGGATAAGGAGTGCACTATGTGACTTTATGCATGGGTCATCTATCCCTTGACAGGTAACGTACTGAACCGCATGCCTGTGCTACATCACTCTTTCCTTTCTGTATACACAACGAGAAAAAACTCACAGTGAAGCATATTTGACGAGTGTTTCCACCATGTAATTACGAGCATTTGAGTGAGTTGGCATCAGTGAGAGCGCCAGATCAAAGTCAGACTCAGCCAGCACATAGTGTCCATTTGTCGAGTATCTGGGGAAGACGACGCAAAGAAATTGTGGCTTTCATGTATACGTTTCGCATCATGCGCTTGTGCAATGTTCCTCGGGTCACAAATCGAATTCTGAAGCGGCCCTATGCATTTATCACCAGATCAATGGTCTCACCTCTAGACTGAGGTATCGAAAAAAATTCAGAATGAAAATCCGTTGATGGTTGTTTTCTCACAAAAACTGCACCAAAAAACTCTGCAAAAATGTGCCCGGGAAATGGACCCCAAGACTGCGGGCAACACTACTGGTCCTGATTTCTCCTGTAAACCCCTTTAGGACCAATGTCGCTACAGTCTCCGTAATCTTC